GACGGGATCCACCTAACCGAAACACGCACGTTCCTGGCAAGGCTGAGGCAAGCGAACCTTCCAGAATCAAGAGGAGCCTGTTCCTCGTACGATACCTATCACAACAAAGAGCGCTAGATTATCACGGAAATCAGCTGTCTCACATTCCGCCCAGGGCGACTGAGAAGGATGCGTTCGACCCCCGTGAGAAGGGCGCGGGCTTCAAGCAGGAGAACGTTTTCACTGTGACTGAAGGGTCAGCCACCACGCACGCGCCATGCATCCTCCGCCAGGTCCTCGGCCCGGACCCCCATCGAACTCGGCGGCGGGCTCGAGCCCCATGGGGGCCGACCGCCCCCAGCTGCTCCAGCCCCTGCAGGTCGGCCGCAGGCAGCGCCTGCCGAAGCGCAGCCGCGCGCGCCTGGATGCGACCTGGGCGTCGGAAGCGGCCCCGCTCCCGAACGCGACCGCGTCGAGAGGTTCGCTCGCCGCCCAGCCCGCGCAGGCAGACACCAAAACCCTCCTCGCAGGCGTCCGCGGCACAGGCGACGCCGTTCCAGCGCAGCTCCCAGGAGGCAACCAGCGTCACCAGCAGGCCCTGGAAGCACGACAGCTCCTGCTTCACACTGGGCCAGAGCTCGCAGGAGTCGCAATGTTGATTCCTGATGTAGCTGTAGACGGCACTGAAGCAGAACAGGCTCTCCCGACGAATGAGTCCAGCGAAAGTGCAGTGCCCGACTATGATCTTCAAAGCCTGCCCCGTGACCAGCCGCCGCCGCAGCAGCCCGCGCAGCGCCTGCCGCAACCGCCAGAAGCGCCGACAGCTGAGCCGCGCATGCCGCCTGCCAGCGTCGAGCGCCACGCCCAACGCCTCGACCTCGCCCTCCGAGATCTCCAGCTCGTGCGTCTTGAGGCCCCTCGCCTCGAAAGACGCGACCAGCTGCTCCACGGTTCCCTTCCACGACGTCTTTACTGCGGCCGAAGACCCCGACGTCGTCCACGTAGACGTTGCGGCGGACCTGCAAGCCGCCCCTCAGGCATCTCAGCAACAGCGGCCTGCCGTGGTCAACGAGGAGCCCACGGCGATCGACGACCGACGCCGCGGCCTCCTCGTCGATATCCTGGGGAAGAACAACGACCAGGTGAAGCCCATGGGGAGCGCGGTGGCCAGCGGCACGAGCTCGCACGACGGCTCGGGCTTGACGCCGCCCAGCTCGCGGAGCCCCATCGCGCCAGCAGTGGCGGAGGGAAGCCCGAAGTACTGAGACAGGTGGCCGGGCATCTTCATGCGATGGAAGGCATCGGCAACGTCCACAGTGCCGACGGCAAAATGCGCGGCGTCGCGGGAGTCGTCCTCGACCTCGATGTTGCCGAGGCCATCGGCGGTGAGAAGGTTCACATGTGGTGGGGTCAGAAATCTGGCGTTCGTCCTCAGTGCACCCAGAATCATTCTCAACTGTCCTGACTTTTTCTTTACAAAGAACAGCCCCGCACGCTCGATTCAAAATAACGGGAATTCCACCAAGCCTCTATCGCGTAGACCTGTGAGGAGCTGCACATGCGTTCTGCGATTCCTGGTCAGGGCAGGATCCACATAGCCAGGAATGCCATGCAAAACATGATCAATCAATTCTCGTTCCACTGGTAGGCGCATTCGCCCCCCGCCCCCTTCCCAGAAATACCGACCTCGAGCGCCGACGAGCTCCCCGATCTGCTTGCAATCAACAGCACTCGAGGGGAGCGACACCAGATCACGATTGAAAGGGGGCAAGGTAGTTGAGACGGAGCTGGCGCGGGCGCAGCCGCCCCGCCCGCCTTCGGAGCAAGTCGCAAAGGGCCGCCTCCGAAGTCAAGTGATTAGCCTTGTCGCCACTGGGCTGCTGGAGCGCTGCCAGCCCTTCCAGGTGGCGTCTAGTAGAGTCCGCCATCCCCGAGGTCAGGTCGAGGCCCCTCGAGCGGTCCTTCGACTCAGAGATGCGGTGGCCACTCAACCAATTCAATTCATCGATAGCCTCTGTCACTAGCGTGGGAAGTACCTCGCGCGCACGGCCTCGCAGCCGCTGCTCCTTGGACCGACCGATCCTGACAGTTGGATCAAATCGCACAGCCGGCAGCGGAAAGAGACGCCGCCGACCCTCGGCCGCCTTGCGCGGCCCGCCCACCGCGCTCGGGGGGCCACGGCTGGGGGCGAAGTCGCCGTAGCCCTCCCCCATCATCGCGGCTTCTCCGCGGGCGCGCCTCGACCTCCTCGAGCCGCCCCGCGTCCGTCTCCTCGCCCTCGTCCGCGACCGCGCCCGCGACCACCGCCGGCGTCGCCATTGCCGTCCTCGGCGACCTCCTCCATAGTCGGAAGCCCTCCGAGCGTCCCGGCACGCGCGGCGCAGTGGTCGTGCTCGTCCTTTTAGCGTCGGATGCCCCAGGAGCTCAGACCTGGGTCGACAGCATCCAACGCCCTCGCACGCCTTCGCGGGCATCCAGTTCGGCGCCGTCTAGCCGCTGCAGGCGTCGATGATAGCTGCCAGCCGCCGACCAAGCCGCTCGGCACCAGCGAGGGGCGCCAGGTTTATCTGATCGTGTGTCGCGAACAGATGGAATGACTCCACGATTGCTCGGAGCTCGTGAGTCACCCCATCCGTCCTCGAGATGTTGTTCTCTCGTGGGAAGTCCACCAGCCACTTCTCCAGGCCCCCACGCCTCCGCTCGGCGTGGACCAGGAGGTGCGCAGGACAGCCGGGCCCCTCGATGTCGCGGCAGTCCAGCGGCTCCTGGCTCATCTCGGCCGTGAACTTCCTGAAGCCCTTGTAGCGCCGCCCGAGCTCGTCGTAGTCGACCCACAGCGTACGGCTATCGTCGCCAGGAGCGTCGCCACTGTCGTGCAAGGCGCCTCCTAGCTCCTTGGCCCCTGGGGCGCCCTCAGCCGCCGCGCCCTCGCCGACGTCCTCGATGGCACCGCCGAGCCCAGCAGCATCAGGCCACCTCGACTCGGCCCTGATGGTATCCATCGCTCGGCGCCTGAAATCGGGGATCTCCGACTTCTTAACCAGCACGATCTTCATGAGGCCACTCCTGTCCTGCGCGAAGCCGACCCCTTGGGACAGCGCGATGTCGCCCTGCTTCACGTCAATGCTATCCCCGACGCAGCCAGCCGCAGCGCCGCTCTCGGCGATCACCCAGCTGAAGCCTTCGGGCGGCTGCAGAGGTGGCGTCGCCGTGCCATCGACGCCATCCGCCAGGGGCGCAGGAGCGGCGCCTTCGGCTGCTCCAGCCTTCAGCGGCAGCCTCCTGCTCGGCACCATCGCCCCCTCGGCGGACAGCACCATCGTCACCTGGGAGGCCTCGAAGCCCAGCTCCGCGTAGGTCGCCAGGCAGCTCGCCAACTCGCGACGCAGCATCTGCGTGATAGGGTAGTCGTCTGGCCGAAACCTGTAGAAGTAGCCCCGCAATGTGCGAGGGATCTCTGACTGCGCGTTGAACGCCACGAACTGTTCGACGTCCATGTTGCCCTCGCTTTACTGTTCCTCGTAGATCATGAGATCTGACGTCATGCTCCCCCAAATGCTCGTACGCCCAGCACCGCTGGCACCAGGGCCCAGCAGCACCCGCTCGTGGAAGAGCAGCTCCCCCACGTCGGCGTAGCGCAAGCCAACCGACCTTCCAGGAACCAGCTCCAGCGATAACTCCTCGGCCGTGCATGGCGTCCCGTCGGGCCCCAAAAACCTCCCCACGGGGAGCCTCCGCGCGCGCGCGCCATCGCGTCTCCTGGCAGCAGCCGCCGCAACCTGCCCGATGAGCGCCGACAGCAGGCTGGTGACAGCAGGTGGCCGCCCACGACCCCGCCCCAGCTCAGGCCCTCGGCCTCCTCGGCTGGGCAGGGTGGGCACGGGCGCGCCTCCTTCGAACACGCGGGCGGTTCCGCGCGCCCAAGGTCGGCGACGGCCTTCTCGAGGCGGCCGGCCGCAGCGCCAAGCTCTGCGCGCTGAGACTCTTCGCGGGCCCGCTGATCCAGCTGCCCGAGCACCAGCAGCAGCGCCAGTGCGGCGCGCATCGCCATTTCTGATGAAAGAAGAAAGCGAGGCTTGAGCACAGGTGTTATGGACACGGAGGGGGGTTATGGGAATCTGGACCTCGTCACCTCCAAAACTATGGCACGTCATTCCTGTGCTGCGCACATCCATCATCTTCATCATAATCATCGCCATCACCGTCACCATCACCATCATCATCATCATCATCATCATCATCATCATCATCATCATCATCATCATCATCATCATCATCATCATCATCATCATCAGCATCATTAGCAGCAGCATCATAATCATCATCATGATCATCGCCATCATTATAATCGTAAACAACTTCGTCATCGTCGTCACTGTCGTCATTATCATCACCACCATCATCATAATCATCATCAGCATCGTCGCCGTCGTCGTGTTCGTCATCATCATCATCATCATCATCATCATCATCATCATCATCATCGTCATCATCGTCACCATCATCATCATCATCATCATCATCATCATCATCATCAGCAGCATCATCATGACAATCATCATGATCCACATCATCGTCATCATCATCACCACCACCATCATCACCATCATCACCATCATCACCACCACCGCAACCAAAACCACCACCACCACCACCATCATCATCATCATCATCATCATCATCATCATCATCATCATCATCATCATCGTCATCGTCATCATCATCATCATCATCATCATCATCATCATCATCATCATCATCATCATCATCACCATTATCTTCATTACCCCCATCATCCTCATAATCCTCATCATCCTCATCACGGCTCTCCTAAGCCTGGAGACACGAGGTGCCATTCGCGACGGCCTCCCGTGCCCCCTCAAACAATCGCCACCCAGAAACCTGGACTCGCACGGTGGCGGGACTTGCGGCAAGCAAGTTGAAAAAGTGGACCAAAACCTACTCCGCTAGTCAGCACCGCACGCCACACAACCGCAGCCCTGTGGCGTGCGACGCCTATTCTAGAGGCACAAAACACGACAAGAGCGTAACCTTTCGGATGAACACGCGGATTCCGTGAATCGGAGCTGGGTCCCCCTGGCGGCGCCTCTGGCACAGCCCGTACTGCGCAGGAGGCGCGCCGGGGAGGGAAATCCGGCGCCGATCCAAAAATCCGAGCGGACTTCCAAAAGCTTATGCTTAGGCCGTTGTTTCTTCCTCATTCGATCGGGAGTTCCAGCCGTCGGGATGCACAATGCGAGGCACAATCCGACAACGCGCGATGTTGTGGTCTGGTATGAGTCGGCACATTGCTTTTTATCACTTCCGCTCTCGCGAAATAACAGTGAGGCACCAAACAGCCCCCAAGAAGCGCACAACAGGTTACAGAGACCTCCTGCAGGCTCCAAGACACCCACAAGAAGCTCTCCACGAGGCCCTCGACAGAGGCAGAAACATGGTTACTCCGAATGTCGTTCGGTGTTTTTCCATATTTTTCGTTTGCCGCGCTCTTCGGTCGAGTATCGTTCCACTTGCCGTCTTCGGAGGCAACAGATCCCTGTTTCCGCCCCCCCACCCTCAGCGATTTTTTTCGGGGGGGTGGGGAAACCCCCGGTTCTTTGACCCCCCCCCTTCAGGGATTTGTTTCAGCACAGCCGCGGTGGATCGCGCTCCCTCTGATGTTGATGATGATGAAATTGATGATGATGATGATGGTGATACTGCTGATGATGATGGTGAGGAAAAGGAGCCGGGAAACGGAAAAACCGGGAGAAAGAGGAGGAGGAGGAGGAAACGGGAAGAGGAGGAGGAGGAACCAGGAGGAGGAGGAAGAAAAGAAAGAACAGGAGACTGAGGAGAAAAACACGACGTAAAAATCTCGACATAAAGAACACTGCGTAAAAACGACCACTGCGTGAATTTGAGGATGATGGTGATACTGCTGATGATGATGATGGCGAAGAGCAACCGGGAGGCGGAGGAACCGGGAGGAAGAGGAGGAGGAGGAGGAAACGGGAGGAGGAGGAGGATAAGGAGGAGGAGGAGGAACCGAGAGGAGGAGGAGGAGGAGGAGGAAGAAGAAGAGGTAGAGGAGAAAAAACACTACGTAAAGAACGGTGTAGAGCACACTGCGTAAAAAAAAACAAGCACGGCGTGCCAAAAAAAACACGACGTCATTTTTAGTTCACGATTACGATTTCGATTTCACGATTCAGAAAACATTTGGGCTGGCGAGGTTCAGGCCGTCCGCCGAGACCGCGAGCTCGAGGGACTGTGAAGACACCCTGCGTTCGTGGGCCGAACGGGATCCTGGGCCCACTTTGTATTCGACTGGCCAGCGCTCGTGGGAAGCCATGAACCCGCCGGGCGACCGCGCCTGCAGGCCCACGACCGCGTCGCCAATCGTGTCGGGCCCTTTCAAGAGTATCTGCACTCTCGCATCGCAAATCATCAGGCGCGAATGGGCCAAGAAAGAAGAAGCCGCAGCGCCGCGCGCCCAGGCCAGCAGACGCGGCTCGCCTCGCTGGAGGAGGGCGCGCCGCTCACGCGCCCAGGCGTCTATGTCGGTGCCCGCGCCCAGGCGGGTGGCCGCGCAGAACTCACTGGCCACCATCACGACCGAGCGGCCGCCGAAGTCGAGCTTGGCGGGCGGCAGCGCCACCTCCTGGCCCACCACGCGGCCCTGGCCAAGCTTGTCCAGCGCCCGACGAGCAGCCAGCCCTGGCCCGGCGCGGGGGCGGAGGCGGCGGAGCCGCCGCGCATGGCGCGGCAGAGGCACGGGCGCGGCCATAGGTGCGATGCCTCCAACGCCGCCAGCGGCGGCGGCGCCCGCAGGTTGGGCTCGCCCGCGCGCCAGCCGCTCCACGACCGCAGCCGTGGCCCCTCCCGCCAAGATCGACACGACCTCGGACGGCGAGGGCGCCACGCGAAAGCGGTAGACATGGCCGCCCGCCACGCCCACCGGCAACCCGCCGCCAGGAGCGCCGAACTGCAGGCCGCTCAGGTCCGCGCTCGCGACGTCCAACTGGTCGATGAACATGTCGCAATCCGGTGTGGGCACCACATAGTTACGTGGCTCGCCAGGACCCACGACAGAAGCAGCCTCTCGTGCCGCAACTCACCCAGGGGGCCGACCTCGTCGCAACGCGCGTGCGCGCATGTCGGTACGACGCGCCGCTTGGCGTTAGCCTGAGCACTTTCCACGGTGGCTCCCTCGCTGGCCGCCGCGATGGCCGGCAACGTCGCCGGAGCCACAAGGGGCAACTCCGCGGGCGCCGACGACGCCCGGCCCGACCCCGCGCGCGGCAGGCCCTGCGAGTGGCGAGCCGCCAGGCCGCAGGCCGTGACTCCGGTCAGGGGGCCCCCCGCCAGAAAGCCCCAGACTGCCGGCGAGACCCGCGAGCAAGGGGGGCAGGGCGCTGGCGTCGGCGCCAGCGGGCAAGGCAAGGGCGCTGGAGGTTCTCGGGCCCTTCAGCGCTCGAGCTGCTTCTCTTGGAGCGCAAGAGCGCCAGGGTCGTCAGCGCACAGTGGCACGGGCGCGCCAGCCCCGCGAACCGCGACGCAGCCGCCGCCGCGCCCGCCGCGGCCCAACTGTCGGCCATGCACATGCAGGCCGACTCGAAGCCAAGATAAGCCTTGAAGCCCCCCCCTCAAAAAAAATACGGAAAACGGAAACCGACAATTTGTTTGACGGGACTGATGTTTTTTTCCCTACCTAGGCTCTGCCTAGAGGGTTCTTACTCTCTTAGCTTAAAGGGGCCGGGCAGTGCTACACGCCCCGGGCGGTTCCCCCGGTCCCCGCCCCGCGGTTCCCCCAGTCCCCTGGGAGCTTTAGCTTTAGCTTTAGCTTTAGCTTTAGTTGCTTAGCTTCAGCTTAGCGTTAGCTTAGCATTAGCTTAGCTTTAGCTTAGCTAAAACTTAGTTTTAGCTTTAGTCTTAGCTTTAGTTTTAGCTTTAGCTTTAGCTTAGCTTTAGCTTAGCTGTAGCTCAGCTGTAGCTCAGCTTTAGCTAAGCTTTAGCTTAGCTTCAGCTTAGCCTTAGCTTAGCTTTAGCTCAGTTTTAACTTAGCTTCACCTTAGCTTTAGCTTAGCTTTACTTTAGCTGTAGCTTAGCTGTAGCTTAGCTGCAGCTTAGCTTTAGCTTAGCTTTACTGTTACTACTAGTGCTGCTTTCCTAGGGGCTCCAACTCCTAACTAGGGTCGCACTGGGATAATTTTTCCTGTGGCCAGAAAACGCCGATACCACCTGGCAACACGCGCCGGCAAACACTGATTATATTCACGGCTCCATTCATATGTAAATGTATTGTTGTGTACACCTCAATCAATACATCTGTGCATGCATGTATATATATGTGTATATATAAACAATATATGACGGATATACAAAATATGCATCGAAACGCCGATATGTAGTTATCCTGCCCTCAATATACCACCATCCATGGTGAATCTATGACGATGGCTTTTTGAAACAACACGGCTAAGAATAACATACATCCTTCACAGGCCCTTCTGAAGAATGCGCTGCCACACTCCTCCTCGGCCAGGCGCCACTCCGCGCCGCCGCCGACAAGCAAGCATTGCAGCCTGCACGCGTGACTGGCCGAACGCCGGCCCAAGGCTAGGCGCCAATCCGCGCCTCCACCGAAAAGCAAGCAAGCACTCCTGCCCGCGCGCGTGGATGGCCGAACCTCTGGCCCAAGCCGCACTTAAACCGCTGCCCTCAGGGGCAGCTCACTCCGTCCTTCGAAAATCACGAAACCGCACCGATCCATGGAAAAGTCGATCGCGTCGCCCGAGAGGTGCTTCGTCATCATGCCCGCGGTGTTCAGCTCGCCGGGGGCCTTGACTAGCTTCGCGCGCCTCTCGTGGCAGATGCCCTGCACCCACAGGTACCGTGCGTGCAAGTGCCTCACCTTCCCCGCTCCAAGCCTCAGCGCCATGCCGCGCCTGGCCGTAGCGTCCGTCTCGACAACAAGGTCCTTCACCATGCCGAAATCTTCGCACGCGCGCTGGGCCCCGAGTCCAACGCTGGCGCCACGCGCGATCGCGCAAAACCCCGACTCTTCACTCGACAAGGCAACCACTGCCTGGGTGTTGGCAGTCGCCTCCAGTAGGTGCGCGCCATGATACAGCGCGATCCCTGTAGTGCTCCTCCTGGTCAGCACGCAGCCCGCGTGGTCTGAGTCGCACGCCGCCCTCGGGGCGTCCACCTCGATCTGCCGGACGAACCGCTGCGCGGCCCTCGGCCCTTGCATCAGGTAGCGCCCGATCCGCTTCGCCATCTCCATGGCCACTTGCGTCGGCTTGCTCATCCATTTCGCCGCCCCCTTGGCCGCGAAGAGCAGGTCAATCCTGTTTATCGCTAAGTAGTTGATCCTCATGCAAGCGCTCTTGAACAGTGAGGCCTCGGCCGCGCCAAAGGGAGGTGGCTCCGTCAGCTCCTCCGCCGTCCTCTTGATGCCCGGTGCGCTGACCGACTTGCTGCCCGTGTCAAGCCCGAGCCCCAGCTGAACCAAGACGATCTCGGCGCGGCGGGGGTCGGCCCCCCACTGCAAGCGCGGAACGCCGGTCGTCGTCTCGGTGAGCCTGAAAATCCTGTTGAGCAACGTGATCTCCTGCAAATCGCCGTCATCCCAGCCGAGTACTCCGCGCACCTTCACCCGGATATGCTTGGACAGCTCAGTCTTGAACCACTCCAGGGGTCGTCATCGCCCTCGCTCACGAAGTCGCCCCCGTGGTAGAATAGCAGGATCTCCTTCTCGTCGCGCCTGCGCAAGCACGGGCATAATATACCTATCTTGAAGCCCATCTCGCGCAGCACCTCCATCACCTTGTCGGCGAAGTTCGCCGCAGCGCCCCTCGCGCCGCACATGCTCTTGAGCACCAGCGCGCAGTAGCCCTCGCGGCGCCGCTCGGCCGGGAGTCGCACGAGAACCCGCCGACGCGCTGGGCTGTGGAAGCGTGCCCGGCTGATGTCGATGAACTTCAGCTCGCGCCGCCTGCTGTCGCCCGGCTTCCTGCTCGCCATCTTGCTGGAAAGCATCTCGACGCCCTCCTGCGGCGGGGTGGCCGAGAACACGTCGCCCCTGATAACCCCGGCCTTCGTCTGGGCGCTCATCAGCTCCATCGCAACCAGTCTGCATCTGATCTCCGGGCGAGCGTCGTCGCCCTTGTTCGCGTCCTCCCATGTGACCTGGATGGGCCCCCCCTTTGGTCACCTCCCAGCAGAGAGACTCCGGGACCTCCTCGACACCTTCGCGTCGCCCATGCACTTGAGCCCCTCACCCCTGCCGGCCAGCGCCAGCGTCGCGTCGAGCAGCTGGCCCGAGATGTCGTCGCGAAGCTCCTCGTACTCCTCCATGTCCCAGGTCGCGGAGCCCTCAGCACAGGTGATGCCCACGGTGAGCGCACTCAGGTCGCCATTGACATTCAGCTGCGTCTTCAGGCCCCTGAGAATCGCTGCCACCGAAGCAGGCGGGCAGCTCTGTGCTGGTCGCGCCCTCGAGCTTCCGACCAGAGGAACGTGATCATGCCACTGGTCTCGCGGCAGGCTCTCTTTCTCGCGCCGGCGAGACCTCCGCCAAGATGCACTCTGAGTTGCTCATCCAGCCTGCGGGCTTGAGGACGAAACCCATCTCGCCGTCGAAATCAATCGACCGCTGCCCCCAACAACACTGATGCCCCACAACACGCGCGACACCTTCCATCTTCGAAAGCTCTATCATGAAATCCAGTTTCCAACTCCAAGCACGGTCTGGGTGCTCGCGCAGAAAGTAGCGCCACTCCTTCACCTGCTTGACGTACATCTTCACGCAGAACCGAAGGTGCTGGATGCCCTCGACCTCCTCCTGCTCGCACGCCTCCGGGTCGCGATCCTTCTTCAGGTTCATGATGGCACTGAGGTCCCGACACATCGGCGACCCAATCAGGAGATACGGCTTCTCTCCATCGATGATCGCCCCACACGTCCTCTGGCGATCTGGGTCCGACAGGTCCCACTGCGCGCCATTCTCGTTCTTCAGGCGCAGGTCGAACGCATGGCCAGGGCCGAGGCCAAACGACTCCGCCCTGCTCGCGAACTTGCCCGGATCAAACAGCTCCGTCACATGCGCGTCGAAGAAACCCAACATGTTGATGACGCCCTCGATCTCCTCCAGCGAGCCGACGACCATGGCGTTCTCCGCTGCGGCACTTCTCTTCGCGCCCTCGCCCGAACGCCCCTCCATCGCCGCCGGCGGGGGTTCGCCGCGCGGATCTCCAGGCCCAGGCGCTGCCGCACTCGGCGCCCCCGAATTCGATGCTGCTGCGCCCGATGCCGCAGCGCCCGATGCCGCTGGAGGTTGACCTTGGTCTGCTGCCACTCCAGGTGCCGCGCGACCCTCGTCAGCCTGCGCCGCCTCTGGCTCGACCGCCTGCCGCTCAGCCGGCCTCTTCTCTCCGCGTCGCTCCTCAGCTATCCTCGTGCGCTGCCTCATCTCGAAGTCCTCTTCCATGAACGTCGCGACTCTCGCCCTGCAGGTCTCGCTGCGGCTCCGTGCCGGCAGTCTGGCTGCGTAGCTCTCGCAGCCTATGCAGCCCGGGGTGCGCCCGAACTTCTTGATCTCCACCTCGTTGCGGATGCACGCTCGTCGTGGTCCAGGAACTCCTCCTGCGCCGGTGACTGGCAGCGCAGCCCGCGGCTCTACTGGCAGAGGCGCCTCGTCGGACGCTCTCTCGATCGGGGACCGGGCCGCCGGCGCCTCGCCCTCGTTTCTGGGTGCGCCGGGCACTGGCCGCCACGGTGAGCCCTGCAGCTTCTTCAGCAGCTCGGCGTTGTAGCGATCTCCGCTGGCCTTCCGCTTGACCGCCCTGGCCCGGGCCACGCCCGTCTCCACGCCGATGCACTGCTCCTGGCTCGTGAGCTTCACGCCCAGGAAGATGCCAGTCAACCACTTTGCATCGAGCTTGTTCTTGCGCCCCCGGTTCCTGTCCGCTGGCAGGTAAAACGCCGCCTCGGCGAACGACGGGAGTCCCCTCCGGCACTTCTTCCCGCGAAGCCTCTCGCACGCCGCAACGCCGCCCGCCCCCACCTCAAACAGGTTAAGCACAACGCCGGCGCAAGTTGACGAGCCACGGCACGATCGCGCGGTCGCAGCTGATACTTCCTTCGCACTGGCGCTCTACCGCCAGCGCTGAGTCCGCGCCGTGCCACCGACGGACTGAACTGCCCCTTCGATCGCGCCATTGGCCTGGTGCTCCTCCACCAGGCTCTTCTCCTTCACGATCTGGTAGGTCTCGCCGAGACTCTCGATGACCCTGATCTTTAAGTCCAGGATCGCAGGATCCTGGTCACTCTGAAGTGTCTCGCTCCAATGCTCTTGATGGCCTCTACCACCACCTCGATGATCCATGTCTCTCGAGCTCCCTTGCTCGTCACTGCGGTAGTCACTGTCCATCGCCCTTTGTGCTCACGCAGCACCAACGTCGGCGCTGCTCGCGCGTCGTCTCCGCCGACGAACGCGTAGTCCATGGAGATTGCGTTGGGGAGATGATCTCGTTCTGCATCCAGTCGTCGACGAGCAGCATCGCGGCCGCGCCCTCCAACGCAGTCACCGCACCATGCCCTGTGCTGCGCGCACCCTGCCGCCTCGCGCGCCTCGCGCCCAGCCGACGTTGGCTCGAACGGTCTCGGCGCCACCTTGACCGGTGGATCCACCATTGACCTTCTTGAGCTTGCTCGTGTGCACGCCGCGTCGCAAGTGGATCGGCAAACCCCCGCCGCTCGCGACGCGCCTCAGGTAGCAATCCTCCGGCCCGAAGTACACCTCGCGGCCCCTCCCCACCAACTTCGACACCGCCAGCAACACGCGGTGCACACTGGTCGAAGTACACTGAAGTCGCCTCACACTGCCGTCTTCCGTTAGCACCTCGATCGTCTTCTCGACTTCGTCGCGCACCAGCTGGCCGTTGGCTGCCCGGTAGCTGGCACCACTCTCGCTGGACACAGTCGGCCTCGCCGCCAGGTCCCGGGCCCACGCGTTCGGCGCCGCGCTCGCAGCTGTCGCAGAGTCCACCGCCGCATAGGAGAACTCCGACATCGTCCATGGCGTTCAGCTCCAGAGCGCACAGGTCCAGCCTACCGAGGTTGCCAGGCTGCTCGGTCTCTGGTTCCTGCATGTCGTTCGTCTCCAGGGTGTTGGCACCTCGCCCCGACGATGGTGTCTGGCCTCGCGCCGATGGGCAGTCCTTCCGCTGATGCCCCCAGCCCCAACACATCGAGCAGTGCCCTTGGGAGCCGGCCTGCTGCTGCTGCTGCTGCTGCTGCGGCTGCCGCTGGTTCGGTCGCCCATCTCGCTTTGGGCAAGGCTCGGACGGCATCTTGGCCTTGCCCTTGCCCTTCGGGTCCTTGCTCTTGCCTTTGCCGCCCTTGTCCCTGGCCCCCCTTGCCCTGCCCTCCTGGTCTCGGGACCCCTGATGGGCACGGCCCCCCGGAAGCCAGCAGTCTCGCTTCACGTGGCCCGTCTTGCCGCAGCTGTTGCAAGCGATGTCCAATCCAGTTTTGCCGCCCTTGCCTCCGAAGTTGCTCATGCCCATCGGTTCTGGGCCCTCGTTGACCCTCGGTTCCAGGTAGCTCTGGGTCTCCTCTCGCGCACTGATGTAGGTCTCAGCTTGCTGGCATAAGACTAGTCGATCCTTGAACACGCCCTTCGTCATGCTGATCAACACCTCGGTCTTGATGTCCTCCTGCGTCGTGCTGCCAGCCCGCCTCTCGTAGACGCGCAGCCGCTCTTCCCACTTGGCGACGTGGCTGTTGAGCTCCTTCGCGTCGACAGCCCGTGGATGGATCAGCGCGCCCAGGATTTTCCTCCTCCGCTCAGCTGCCTGCGGGTCGAAGCGTCGCGAGACAATCCGCCATGCCTCGAAGCCGTCGTTGTCCTTGGTCGCCTGCACCAGGTCCAAGGCTTCCCCTTCGCAGAGCTGTGCCAGCACCGCGCGCAGCTGCCTGCTCGCATTCCTCGCGTCGATGCCGTCGTCCATGAACCCGGCGATCTCGTCGCGATCCTCCTGAGTCAGCAGGTCCTCCTGGTCTTGGATGTGGTCCATTGCGTCCGTGATCCCCGTCGCTACACCCTCCAGGAAGTTGCCTTGCTTGAACGACCAGCTCGACCACGCCTTCATGCCGCTGTTGAACACCGTCGGCTTGCCGATGCCCTTGATGTCTACGAACAGCACACACACACACACTCTCTCTGTCTTGCTTCGCGGTGTGCCAGGACCGTGGCCTGCAACCGGTTGATGTTCTCGAGCACTTCGACCCTCTGCGCTTGAAGCGTACTCACCATGTTCCGCTGCTGGGTCAGATCGTTCGTTTGGACTCACATCTGCTCTCCCATCTGGGGTCGCTGCTTTTCCGCCATCAAAGTCACTCTCTGAGATCTTCACGTAGCTGCTTCGTCGCGACCTGGTGAAGCCACTGTCCCAGATGACCCCACATGCGCTGCAGCCGCCCGATTCTGAACAAGCTGCGAACCACCCGTCGCCAGCTCCTCTGCGATCCTTCTCCTGCGGTTCGTTCTCCTTGGTCGACTGCAGGCTCGGGAGTCTCAAGCCGCTCACACCACTCGCGCCGCCTGCGGCAGCACACAGAACAACGAACAACCTCGTAGCTGCCGCTATCAGGGCGGCGCGCGCCCGTCTTCAGGATTGGATCGGTAGCGGGTGGAACTGTCACCAGCTCCGCTACCATTACGACGGTTTTTTGAACCCACACGGCTAAGGATAACATACATCCTTCACAGTCCATTCTGAGGAATGCACTGCCACAGTATACATACGTATATCGTGCGCATATACACATCCAACCGTTCGTCTGTATGTCGTTCGCTCCACCAAGCTATTAACCTATCGCGTACGCACGTGTATATATATACACACATATACATGATGAAAGATATACATACACCTGCGGCGTCTGCATATCCATATACCTGGCAATCTGTGTTACCCGCCTGTCGATGCATCGATCTATTCACCCGTCGACTTTTACGGGCCACGCGATGGGAATCAGTTATTTACCGTTCGAGGCAACTGTTTTAAAGGCAAATCGCACAACATCACTTTCTCTGTAATGCGTACAGTTGACATATACCCCAAACTAGCTATCCGACCAAGAAGTCGCACAAGCGGATTTGCTGTGCAAACCTTTACCATAGGAGTGGATTCATACACCGACCGCAAAAAGTGAGCCGATTGCACGGCCAGACATAATCAAGCACTTTTGCGCAATCCACAATGAAATCGAACAATACATCGCCTGGGGGAAAAAAAATCCTATTGTAAAATCCGTGCTAAAGGATTCGATGTGTAATTCACACAGTGGAAATCAATGTGTCTATCGCCTACAAGGGGAATCCTAGTGCAAAGCAGCGCTAAAGGATTCTGCGTGCAGTCCACACAACAAATCGACTGTACAAGGAATCGAGTTGTAAAACCGCACACAAGGGAGCGATGTGCACCCCACACAGTAAGAATCCAACTGTAAATCGCCCAGAAAAATCTGTTTGAAAGGGGGCAGGAAATAGTTCAGGAAGAGGGGGCCCCACCCAAAAAAAACAGATAATGAACTCCCCTTTAATGACTTTCTTTTCGGGGGGGGGCGGGGGCACGAAAACAAAAAGCGAAGGGGAAGTTTGTGTTCGCACCCCTCCCAAACTTTTTCGGGCACCGCTTCAATAGGAATCCTGTAAGATTCGACTAAGAAATTGATTCCTAGTGAGGAATCCTCTTGCGTGGCTTTGCAATCGGATTCCGTTCAAAGGCGGTTTACACATTAGTCCTGTTGTGTAGATTACACATAGTATCCTATGTACAGCTTCACAATAGGATTGCTTTTGCAAGCGATCTACAAGTTGATTCCTTTTGGGTGGCTTACAAGTAGAATCCTCTTGTGCTGCTTTACACTAGGATTCATTTTGTACGCGATGGGAAGATTGATTTCCAGTGGAAATCACACATCGAATCCGATCGCACGGCTTTGCAATCGGATTCCCTTTGTAGGCGGCACAAAAAAACAAAACCAACCAAACGAAACAACTAAAACAAAGCAAAGCGAAACGCATAACGAAGCAACGCAGGAACAAAGCAAAACAAAAACGAAACAACGAAACGAAGCACACAAAGCAAAACACAAGATAAAACGCGGGAACTTCGAGAAAGACAGTCGCACCCAAGAAGTCATTCAGCAGACGCCACGGGGCCTCAAAGAAGCCTGTTGCCCATTGCCTAGAGGTTTCCCCCAGATGTCCCCATGAGTCCTCCAGGGCATCAGTATAACATACACGTCTGGATTATTGGCATAGCGTGCATGTCTTGATGATCTACCTACAGACGGGGCAACCACAGGACAACAACAAGACAACCACGGGGCAACCACGCAACAACCATGGAACAATGACGGGACAACGACCGGACAATCACATGACAACCACAGAAGAACCGCAGGATGACAACGGGGACAATCACGGGGCAACCACGGGACAACCATGGAGCAACCATAGGACAGGACAACCGCGGGACAACCTGGAACTGCCAACCCGCAGACGGGGAACGACAAATAATGGCACCCTTGCCATAACAGGGCGGGGATCTTTCTCGCCCTTGCGCATCTTCGCCTCCTCCGTACGCACGAGACGAACCGAAACCGAAACCGATTTCCTTGGTGTGGGACTCCGTTTCACCCCGGTATCGCCCCCCCACCTCCGATGCCCAAGAGATCTGGCTATAGGCCATTCGCATCCTTTTTGCCAAAATGTCCTCGCGGCGAAGACGCCTGCCGCCCTTCACGGACAGTCCCCGCACGAGCCGACACCGCAGAACTTGCACTCGTTTGTCTTGCCATCCGCCTTGCAGCAGAGCCCCCCGTTCGCACAGTCCGGCTCCCAGTAGCACAAAATGTCTGGGTTCCCACAGGTGCCCGCTGGCGTTGCCGTGCAGCCGAGCGTGTTCGGCGGCAGCGGCGTTGGCGCTGGTGTTGGCGATGGCGTTGGCGATGGTGGCGATGGTGTTGGTGGCGATGGTGTCGGACTGGGCCCACTGCAACCAGGGGTCCCTGGGTGCTTGCCAGCGCAGCACCCTGCCATGTGGTCTTCGCGGCAATAGGTGCACTGCTCTCCAGAGCAGCCCCTGCAGGCCTGGTCGAGGCAGCAATCCTTCTGCTTCTCGTCCACGCAAAGCTGGCACTGCTCGCCGCTGCAGCCCTGGCATCCAGACGTGTCGCAAGTTGGTGGCGATGGTGTCGGACTGGGCCCACTGCAGCCAGGGGTCCCTGGGTGCTTGCCAGCGCAGCACCCTGCCATGTGGTCTTCGCGGCAGTAGGTGCATTGCTCTCCAGAGCAGCCCCTGCAGGCCTGGTCGAGGCAGCAATCCTTCTGCTTCTCGTCCACGCAAAGCTGACACTGCTCGCCGCTGCAGCCCTGGCATCCAGACGTGTCGCAAGCTGGTGGCGATGGTGTCGGACTGGGCCCACTGCAGCCAGGGGTCCCTGGGTGCTTGCCAGCGCAGCACCCTGCCATGTGGTCTTCGCGGCAGTAGGTGCACTGCTCTCCAGAACAGCCCTTGCAGAACTGGTCCAGGCAGCATTCCTTCGCCTTGTCGTCACGGCACAGCTGGCACTGCTCGCCGCTGCAGCCCTGGCATCCAGACATGTCGCAGGAGCTCGACTGCGCAATCGC